CTGACGACATCGATATCCTCGAGATGTGAAAGATAAACACACCAGACGTGTTGTAGCACAGCAACTTTTCGGTGAGGGAGGTCGAGGTATGGGGATGTTAGGGCTATCTGTGGTGACGTCTAGATTGCACTAACAGACCGCCTGGTTGAAGATGGCGTCTTGGCAAAATCCCAAGGCAAGGCGAAACTCCACTTCAGCCTTGAATGACGACGGTTCCTTCCGCCCGAACACAACGATTAAGAGTGGAAAAGAGGGGCCCTTTTGGCTGTGTGGCTTGAATTCTAGAGCCTGCCATTGGGGGATTCCCCTGCGCAGGTACCAGACAACGCATGGATTTCGAGAGATGAGAGGCATCACAGAAACGGCCACCCTGCGTCGTGGAACTCAAGAGACAAGATGGGATGAACTGGCAGATGTCGTTGGATTCAACAGATGAGGGGCAACTGTTGGCGCCGACTTTCGTTATGCTGTTGATTGTTCGAGATTTTGACATGTGATTCAAGATCGGGCTCCATCGCCGGGCTCTCTTTCCACGCTCAGAATATGGGGAACCTTGCGTCAAAGACTGCTTGGCTTTTTGGCGGGACAGTGATTGTCGTGGGTTTGCCACGGCCGGGGTTGTAGACGGTGTTTTTCGATGGCAGGAAGCCGTTCTGGAAAGGCGGAGCTCGGACGACGTCGTGGGCATGCAGATTTGACGGGCAGCCAATCAGCGTTGATTTTGACTTACATGTCCCCCACCCAAACATGAACGCCTCCCCAACAGTTTCCTCAACAAAATTCGGGAAACGGGAAAAGTCACTTTGATCAAGGCTAGGGAGATACCTTCAACACCAGATGGCACCATCCATATGCTATCCTCGGCAGAGCCCGGCAGCACTTGATGCAGTTGTGACCTAAGAGTACCAGCTCTCGAAACCTCGGCCAGTGCTGATCGTGTCAGGAGCTCGTTCGAGAGATACCGTGGTATCATCCCAGATATCCCAACCAAATTCGTCTGTACTGAGTGAGAACAAGAATTGGCCACCGCAACTGTTCCTGCTCCCGGCGGGATTCATTGCCGCCCGCTCCACAGATTGACAGCACCAGCACGCAGCAGGTGCAAAAAAGGCTGGATTCACACTCGGTTTCCTGGTGGTCCAATCGCTGTTGAGGAAATCCGTTGACGCTGAACAGACAGTGACCTGGGTGGCCTGCAATTTTGGCAGCAAATTGAAGTACACAGGAACCCGGCACACGCATGCCACCACAATCCTGACGCCGGGCCTCCCTCAACCCACTCCCCGCCTAAACCCACAGCTCAGACCCTTGCTTGCTTGAACCACCCTTTCTTATAAAACTTTCCAGCCAGCCCTTTCCTGCTTTGACTTTTGCTTCCCTCTTGCCTGAGACCCCTCCACATCCGCCCTTCAGCGAACCTCAGCACCTCTTCAGCACATCGACGACGAGAGAGGACCAAGGCCGACGTCCTCATCGACCGCGATATTGACAACCTCCGCGACTTCCGCCCTCGACATGGCGTCGTCGTCGTCTGAGGCTCCCGCTTCGGCGGTCCTCCAGGCTGAGTCCTTCCCCGATGGAACCAAGGACTATGTCCCCATCCGCAAGAAGAACTGGGACATCAAGAAGCCTCGTAGGTTGCCAGATCGCATTATCCGGTCGCTCCGGCATGCTAACAAATTCTCCTCAACAGACATTACCGACCAACCCATCACAGCCAAGAACTGGTACAAGCACGTCAACTGGCTCAACACCACCTTCATCATCTTCATTCCCCTTACGGGCCTCATCTCCTCGTACTGGGTGCCTCTGCAGCTGAAGACGGCCGTCTTCACTGTGCTCTACTACTTCTTCGCTGGTCTCGGCATCACTGCCGGTTACCATCGTCTGTGGGCTCACACCAGCTACAAGGCTACCCTTCCCCTCAAGATCTTCCTTGCCGCTGGTGGCGCCGCCGCTGTCGAGGGCAGTGCCCGGTGGTGGTCCAGTCTCCATCGTTCTCACCACCGCTACACCGATACCGAGAAGGATCCCTACTCTGTCCGCAAGGGTCTGCTCTACAGCCACATTGGCTGGATGGTCATGAAGCAGAACCCCCGCCGTATCGGCCGTACCGACATCACTGATCTCAACGATGACGCCGTCGTTGTCTGGCAGCACCGCAACTACATCAAGTCGGTCATCACCATGGCCCTGATCGTTCCCATGCTCGTCTGCGGTTTCGGCTGGGGCGACTGGGCCGGTGGCTTCGTCTATGCCGGTATCCTCCGCATCTTCTTCATTCAGCAGGCCACCTTCTGCGTCAACTCCCTGGCTCACTGGCTCGGCGACCAGCCCTTCGATGACCGCAACTCACCGAGAGATCACGTCGTCACTGCCATCGTCACCCTTGGTGAGGGTTACCACAACTTCCACCACGAGTTCCCCAGCGATTTCCGTAACGCTATTGAGTGGTGGCAGTATGACCCCACCAAGTGGTTCATCTCGACCATGAAGTTCCTCGGTTTCGCCTACAACCTCAAGACCTTCCCCCAGAACGAGATTGAGAAGGGCAGACTCCAGCAGCTCCAGAAGAAGCTCGACCAGAAGCGCGTCACCCTTGACTGGGGTATTCCTCTCGAGAACCTTCCCGTTGTCAGCTGGGACGACTTCGTCGAGGAGTCTAAGAACGGCAAGGCCTTGGTTGCCATCGCTGGTATCATCCACGATGTTGGCAAGTTCATTGCCGACCACCCTGGTGGCAAGACTCTTATCAACTCTGCGATTGGCAAGGACGCCACTGCCGTCTTCAACGGTGGTGTCTACAACCACTCCAACGCCGCCCACAACCTTCTTTCTACCATGAGAGTCGGTGTCCTCCGTGGCGGTTGCGAGGTTGAGATCTGGAAGCGTGCCCAGTCCGAGAACAAGGACGTCCAAACAGTTACCGACTCTTCCGGTCAGAAAATTGTCCGCGCCGGCAACCAGGCCACCAAGGTCGCTCAGCCCGTTGCCACTGCCGATGCTGCTTGAATGATTTGATCATCAATCAACATAAGGCAACCTGTACAAAATCACCCCCGCCACGATTAGACGGCGTTCAACGGGGAAGTCTGCGACCTGGAGTTGGTGGCTTTTGTTTTCACAACACCCAGAGAGTCGACAACTGACATAACTTAATGGGTCCTCGGTGTCAGTTGGGTAGTCGGACAGTATGTAGAAGGAAGGGAGCAAAAGATGTTACAAACCTAGCTCATCACTCATTCATTTGCTTGGTAGCAGGCGGGTTTGGTTTCCTTTTTTCCGCCAACGAAAAAAAAAAAAAGAGGTGTCCCATTCATTTTGTGCTTTTAGGGCGTTTTGAGAGATAAATCGGGCAATAGCATTGGAACTGGTGTTTTTTGATAGTTTCTTCTTATTCATTCCATCATTAACAGCTCATGATGACTTTGGCTTTCGTGGGGCATGAAAGAATAGCATGGCTGTTTTGTATGTTGTTGACCTGATGACCTGGGGCATATATGTAAACAAAGACTTGTGAAGTAGAAATAGCGGGAAAGGGGGTTGAGTAGAGAATTGAATTGTCTTGCGCTCCGTGTGTGGCCTCATGTGAAAAGTGAAGTGACATCGGCCCGAGGGGGTGGGGTATCTCCCTCGGACTCCATCCACAAGGCAAGGCAAGGCTCTCTCTGTCTTGCTTGCCTTGTCGTTCAACGGCATTGTTTGCAAACATGCTGGACATGATTCGAGATATAACTGGCTGTCAACACTGAAGCCTTGAAGGAGGGTAAAGGGGAGGTGATGTAAAAGAGAAATTTTTATTAGAGGTGAGGAATGGCAAAAATAATTCGGTCATATTTCTCTCCCGCCGGGAATTGAACCCGGGTCTCGAGCGTTGTTGAAATGACAAGCTCACATACTGACCACTATACTACGGAAGATTTTCAACTGTTAACACTTGTCGTAGCTTGCTGAAGTTTACCGAGGTTGGGTATATCATTGTACCCAGCACTCTCAAGTCACAACCCCTTTTCGTCGAGTCCCACGAACATGTCTTCTTTCCTACAGCCCCGAAGAGAGCCAGTATTATCTATACAGTGTCTCTAATCAGCCATATTCCAAGACAGAGTTGTCATCTTACCATGAATGCAAAGTGTGACTTGCCGAAGTGACCAAAATCCTCAAGGTCATTCTCTATCTCAGACCTCAGCTTCCGATTGACGCATGCCAACAAGAAAATTTCAGAACATTTATACTATTTTTGTTAGCCATATAAGCCATGGATATTCCAGTTCAACTCTTCTTACGATATCAGCCAATAACTCGATGTCTCTGAGATCGTGGACTAGTTAGACGAGGGCCTTGCCTCTTCTCTGTGCTAACCTATCCGCACTTATACGGAGAGAATTCACAGTCCATATATGGGTTGAGTGAGCGTTATGTCTCCGCCATTATGCTTAACATGGAGAGTATCTCAGCATCCTGCGAATTTCTCCGAAACGCAGCATGACACGTCCGCCCCCAGGGTCAGCTCAAAGCAGAGTCTTTGTTTCCCCTCTGTTAGATCTCATTTTCTGGGATTGTGCACTCGAAAAACCAAGAGATTTCCGGAGCCGCTCGCCTTGCTCCGGATGGTCATGTCTGTTCTGGGGAAGTTACAAACTCGACAGACAAGTCGCAAACAATGCACCCACCCGTCTTGATATTCTCCTCTTGCATTGAGGCCTAAGAGTGAAGAAGCAAACAAAGCTCATAACCACAGTACAGAGCATTGCGAACCTTTCTTTTTGAGACCATCAGGCTACTCCCATCTGAAATCAGTGACTCCCGTCAAGCCCTGCCATCCCCAACGCGGAACGAAGTCACCACCCCTTCATGCTTCTCACCAACCGGAGCATCAGAGGAAGGAAGGAGCCAACCGCCACCGCCACCCAACAAGCCCTCCTTCCTTCCCTCGCTTGCCCTTTCCCATATATACCACCTTCCGCAAGCTAATTTCCAACAAACAAACAACTAAAAACTCCCATATAGTGTAGTGGTTAGCATGTCAGGTTTTCAACAACTTGCATCCTGCCTTCCAAGCAGGATGGGTATTGTGATTACCCTGGAGACCCGGGTTCAAACCCCGGTGTGGGAAATCTTCTTTTGCAGTTTTATTTTTTGGGCCTTTGCATCATCTAGTCTTTGCTTTCGCGTTTGCTTTCTTTTTGATGTCAACTCGACTTGTCAAAACATTTTCATCTCTGCCTTCCTTAACAGAGGCTGAGACAGATTTGGACTGAATCGTCGCCGTCCTAAATGCTAACCTTAAGAGCACGCCCAGGCCGTCGACTAAATTCCCAGGGCCGCTGACGTGAGTGACCACTTCTTATCCGTGAGAGACAGGGCCTGTTCAAGTCCATCGACTTAAATGATGCTACTTATAGGCGGAAGCAGATAAGTTCAAAGATGCTTTAGCTCAAGAGGTTATCGGATCGTGGCAACAGTAGCAATCCAGGTGATGGGGGACCAAGTAAAGAATGAATAGTTGTGAGAAATAATCATAACCAATGAAGTATTTTCAGGGAGAGAAAGAGTATAATGTAGCCAAATATCCGCAGACACCCAAAAGGGGATAAAATGTAGCAAAAAATGCAAACGCTGAAAATCACAAACGCTGTGTGACGGGCCAGGAGTCGAACCTGGGTCTTCGCTCTAACTCGGGAATACATTAACCGCTATGTTACCGCGCCACGGAAACAGAACCAGAGAATTGGGATCAAATACCGAGGTCTGGTTGTGTCTCTGGCTGCGTCTCTGGTTGTGGCGTTCTCTTAATTAGGTTTTGTTGAACCTTAAAACAGCCCTGTCGCGGAGGTCCGGCTCATGGGCCTCATTCCCAAGCCCCTTGGGGGCAGTTTTATGAAGAGAATCCCATCATTATGTGAAAGTGAAGAAGGAGTCACCCTTCAGTTTGATGGTCTCTATCGGAGCCTTCTCACTCTCAGCTAAAGAGAAGAAATAATCACTCTCCTCCACTGCCATCCCCTGTCCCTTATACCAACACATAGATGGAGACCCCCATTATATCGTCCGCAGCGATTCCTTCTCTCTTACAGCCTTCCTCATTCCTTTCTTCACTGATTATACTGCCCATAATAGCTCCTCATGACTGCGTTAGGAGTTTGATGAAGTCTCTTACGCACCCAAGCTCGTATTTTGCCACGAGGATCATCTTCTTTTTGCCCGAATAAGCCATGGAGAAGCTTTGCTTCACGCTACTCAAAGCAGGAGGCAGATTAAGAGACATTTGCTAGCAGTGGATCCCATGGAGGGGGGAGTGGTCTGAGAGGAGATGAACCACAAGAAAGCGTCGTGAGCGGGAGGAGGCTCAGCCTTGCACCTTTCTTCCGGAACACAGGGCACCAGAGTAGAGAGACTGGTATTGACTCCAGTAGACTACGTAGACATTTGAGATATATCCATTCTATCTGTCAACAACTTGTGAAGGTGACGGCTCTATCTTCTTGCAATTTGGTGTGCCAGAAACGCAACCAGTCTCTCGTGTGGGATATTGAGTACCTACCAACCCACGTTCTCAGATCATAGTCATCGCTATCAGTGATAATAATCTCGGTTGGCTTGTAGTGGTGCTAGTGTCCCAAAAAGGCAAGACTTCGTTGATGTCGCACATAAGAGGGGAGAAGTACCTGGGCAAATGTAGTATCTGGTGGCGCTTTGCGATGATGTCTGACACTCCCTTCTGGAGGTCTATGACTTTGGTGTGTACAAGCACCCGTCTTCTCAAACATTTGAAGTCTTGTTCCCTCAGCTTTCTCAGGACACAGCTTCCTTCTATGTCAGACGAAGGCAGCATAAGGAAGTAGTAATGCTACGAGTTGGTAGAAATTTATTTTGAGTTTAATCATGATCCGTCACGGTAGCAACGTTACATCAGCTCAGCGCCCAGGTCCAAGGACTGGCCTTCGTACTCTGATCACTGCCTTTCTGAGATCTAAACACTTTGTCTCTTGATTCTCCAGTTTACCACAAGAGTTGTATGCGCTAACTTGTCTGAAGGTCGCTTCCATTACTGTTGTCAGGTTTACTGTTATTACTGGATCAGCTCAAGCTCCTTAGAGCTGAAATTGACAATGCCTTCTAGTAAGGCAGATAGATGACCCTAAAGAGCTGAATAGCCGTATCTCTCGGGTAATCGCTACTAAGAGAGGCAGCAAAACTCATGCATGGTGATTTTTTCAAAGCATGTGTCAAAGAATTGACGGCACCTTTCTCATCGTCACTCACCCTCGGCCAAACTCACTCAACTCAAAACCTCGAAATCGATCTGGAGTCCGAGAAGGCCTCTCTATTCGACAACCAGACTGAAAGCTACATACTCTTACATACCGGACGATAAACTCAACCCAATATTCTGCCCAACCTACCTCAGATATGCACCCTTCGACCCAAGCGGACATATATCTCCGCGGACTCACCTCCTCCAACCCTTCCCTCTCCCTCTCCCACACACCATCCGACCCGTCTCGGCGGCCACTCCGAGCCTCTCATCTCTCACCTTTCACTCCCTCGGCCCAACCTGCACCAAGTATATTATTTTTTACGTACTGCAGCAGTCAACACAACCCAAACAGCCTCACCGTGAATATGTACCCAACTTCACACCTCTTGCCTCTCGGATAGCGTCCCCGCCAGGCCTTGCTCACCGTGGGCCAGATGGCAGATCCAAAGCGCTGACGAGCAACACCTCCGGCAGGCAAACCGGCTGCCAAAAATGAACCATGAAGTCCTATTCAGTTCTGTCTTGTCTCGCCCTCGGCATGGCATCAATCTCTCAGCTAACATCACCATGATCCTACACCTACCTCCCTATCCTATTCCCGCCCCCCATCCGACACCACCCACTGATCCGGCAGGCGAACCCTTTACTTTACCCGCCCTCCCTCAGCTGGAACCAGCTCATCGTGCTCTCTCTCTCTCAGCTTGTTACTTCCGGTCTAGTCCTAATCGAGGCCTATTAGTCAAAGCGTGGCGAATTCGACCTACATACCCTCGCCATTGCGAGCAACAAAGTCAAGTCCCAGATCGAGTGATTGATGAGTACACCCTTTCTCAGCTACTACCTACCCGATCTTAATGATACTAGTGCAAGTTCACAAATGCTAGTTAGGTAGTGCCCGGCCGCGCAACAAATCCAGTGCCACGGATACGGGCAGGCAAGGCAACCGGGATTTGTGGGTTTGGCCGGCAACACGCCCGGTGCTAATTACTGTCACTGTCAAAGGGGGTCCGGGAGCCCGATTCATCTTTGATGATGAATGCCCGATCAACAACCTCGCTCCTCATGATCTTGATGTTGATATTTGGTGTTGCTATTTCTGTCCCTTACCCATCAAGGGTTGGAACCTCTCGATCTTTACAGCGTCTCCCCGTCTTCCCTCTTCCCCCCCCCAAAAAAATGAGGCTTCTACGGATGAGAAGATTCAAGATTGAATCATCAAACCCTCTGGACGTTCTTCATCACGGGCCTACGGATGGTTACCGGCCTGCCAGTTTGGTGTACTTCTTCCAGTCTCATCTGCTAATCTTCCAATTTCCCAAAATCTCCCCTTACTGCGTAAGCGACCGTTAAGCTAGCCACCCCCCCATCATCAGTCCTTGTCTTGCCACGCGAGAGCAGACAAAAAAAGAAAAAAAAAGATCTCATCTCATCTCATTTCATTTGTTGCTCTCTTTCTCTCTCTGTCTCTCTCTTGCCACCACACAAACCGGAACCACTCCCGACCAGTCGGGTCAGTTTCGATCTCGCTTTGCACACAGACACACTGACAGAATCCCTGTGGGTGTCGCGTGTCCAACAGTCAGTCGCGTGGATCACGATGAGAAGAATCGTTCTGGAAGACTTCTGCCCTGCCCCTCCTCCTTGCTGTTCTGTTCAGGGGGTTGGTTGAGTGGCAATCCCTTTTGAAAACCCCTGGAAATTGAAGCAATCCCCAAATTTGACACTCTCTGGTTACTTTTTCCCTCTTTTTAAGTCTCATTTTTGATGTTCCCAGGGGACACGGAATTCCGTTTCTTGGATTCGGATCTGGTAGGTACGTTACATCACCAGGAGTGTGTTTGTGTCCTGACATACCGCCACCCTTATGAAGGAGAGTCACCGCTCGTCTCAGTCGAGTTAATTATGAAACCACACACACACAAGAAAAATTCAAGATTACTCAGCGGCTGATGCCGCCTTCGTATTCACCCACCTGGCCACCATAGGTATGCAAACCACCACCACCGCCCGCTAAACGCCACTGGTGTGTTGCAAATTCTTTGGTTCATTACTGTGCAGTATGTTATCATTGGTGTTCAGTCAGCTAAAAAGAACAAAAAAACTATCGCCTGCCCGAAATAGAGCCGTCGCCGTCGCTGTCGCCGCCTCTGTCCGGCACACGGGATACGGGGGACCACAAGGACCACGCGGGGACATCGGGGCATCGGGGCACCGAGTACGGGAAGAAAAAAAGGGGGGCGTTTCTTGGTACCACTCTTGGAACTGGAGGTGCCGTCGTTGATTCCGTTTATACCCTTAGTACTGTATGTATTCGGCGTTCGGCGTTATCTTGTGCAAACTGAACAAATCATGCAAAATTGTGGCTTGACAAGTATCAGCAGGTATCAATCATAAACTTTGATGCCCTGCGTACGCCATGCCATTCCCATTCCAATGCAGTGAAACCACCGCCATTACACCCCATATCAAGCTTCATCATCTCATGTTCAACAATCATTGCCCAATGTGTTGAAAAGCGGGAACCCCCGGTCCCCCCTCTCTTTCAACAGCCACAACAACAACCCACATCCACATCCGTCCGCCCGCATTCCCGAGGATGATTTCTAGCGTGTGTACACTATGTACTGTCGGCGTTTAGTGTATGTATAACTGCACTGTGTACCATGTACGGACTACGGAGAACGGACGGCTAGACGGCGGCAGGGGCCGAGTGTGTTTGCGGTGAGAGACAGAGAGAGAGAGATCATTGTGTTTCCCACACCAGTTCCCAGTTCCCACAATGAACTGCCGAGAGTTCTCCAGAGAAAAGGATCCGGCACGATGACGTTTATTTCAATAGACCGTGGTCGGTCAAT